TTGAGTGTCTTCCAACCTGAGGGGCTCATTTTCTGGCATGATATCTGACAGTGTTTCTCTGCTATTCAGAAGGTTTTCAGTGACTAAATATTCTAAAGTAGTTTGTCACTCCTTCTTCCTAGTCTGTCTGTCTGGAAGCTCATCTGAAACCTGTCCACCATGGGTGTCCCTGTTGATATTTTAAATACCAGTGGCGTAGCTTTTAGAATCACAGCAACTCTCAAGTCACCACAGTATGACAAACTGACAGATAAGTGGTGGCTGTTTGGTTTTAAGTGAAAACTGTCACTTTAAATTTTGAGGAGATCTGTATCCATGAGTAATAGAACCCTCTAGGGGTGGTGGTTGTGTGTTCATTTGCTCAGGCATTCTCTCTAGTTCCCAGAATGGAGGTGCGTAGACAACGAGAGACCAATGAACAGATACCAAAAAAAAGAATGTCCACACCTATATCTCTGCATTTCTGTCAGGCGTCTGTGGCTGTTCTGATCATATGCCCACTTGTTCTTTCCCAAGATGGTGGCTCTGGGAAAGCTTAGTGTCTTGAATTAGAAAGCAATGGATATCTTGATTCTACTACAAATTCCCCTAGCTGTAAGCCTTCCAATCTTCTAAATATTCCTTTATATTTGGTTCAGAATTCTAGAACCTTTCCCTTAGCCTGTTTGGTCTGGTATCCTGTGTTGTTGGTGATGGAGCTCTTCACTGCATGTCTACCAGATCCGCCATTTTAACACAACATTAGTTAAAAGAAATTTGAGATTGCCTAAATAGTATGAACTTTTTAAAAATTATTATTATCAGAAATGTTCAATACACATTGGAGGCAAGATTCTGAAAAGCACTCAGTCAAGACACAGGTTTTAATATTATTCATATTCAATTTAGCATCACCAAACTTATTTTTATTGGACAATTTAGCAACACCAAACTTGTTTTCAAACATCAGACAGTATCTTTGATAGTTCATGTGAGTAAAGTTTTACTAAGGTAATACAGAAATGGCTGCAACTATACATTGACAGAGAATTTTCAGAGGTTCAAGCCAAATTCAGAAGAGAACATGGAATGAGGGATATCACTGCTGATGTCAGATGGATCTTGGCTGAAAGCAGAGAATACCAGAAAGATGTTTACTGTGCTTCACTGATGACACAAAGGCCTTCAATTGTGTGGATCATGACAAGCTATAGACAACATTGCGAAGTATGAGTATCCCTAATTGTGCTCATGAGGAATCTGTACCTGGACCAAGAAGCAGTTGTTTGAACAGAGCATGGGAACACTGAATGGTTTAAAATTAAGAAAGGTGTGCTACAAGGTTGTATTCTTTCACCATACTTATTCAGTCTGTATGCTGAGCAAATAATCTGAGAAGCTGGGTTATATGAAGAAAAATGTGGCATCAGGATTGGAGGAAGACTCAATAACAATCTGTGATATGCAGATGATACAACCTTGCTAGCTGAAAGTGAAGAGGACTTAAAATATTTACTGATGAAGATGCAAGAGCACAGCCTTCAGTATGGATTACATCTCAATGTCAAGAAAACAAGAATCCTTACCACTGGACCAATAAACAACATTCTTATCAACGGAGAAAGGATTGAAGTTGTCAAGGACTTCATTCTTCTTGGATCAACTATCAACACTCATGGAAGCAGCAGTCAAGAAATTAAATGACATATTGCATTATTCAAATCTGCTGCACAAGACCTTTTTAAAGTGTTGAAGAGCAAAGATGTCAGCTTGAGGACTAAGGTGCGCCTGACCCAAGCCATGGTATTTTCAATAACCTCATATGCATGCAAAAGCTGGACAGTGAATAAGGAAGACTGTAGAAGAATTGATGCCTTTGAGTTATGGTGTTGGAGGAGAATATTGAAAGTGCTGTGGGCTGCCAAAACAACCAATAGATCCGTTTTACAAGAAGTGCAGCCAGAGTGCTCCTTAGAGGCCAAGATGGCCAAACTTCGTCTCTCATACTTCTGATATATTGTCAGGAGTGACCAGTCACTGGAGAATCATATCATGTTTGGTAAGGCGGAGGGTAAGAGAGGAAGAGGAAGACCCCCAAAGAGATGGATTGGCCAAGTGGCAGCATCCATGGACTCAAGTGAGGCAACAGTAGTGAGGTTGGCCCAGGATTGTGCAGTGTTTCTTTCTGCTGTGCATAAGGTCACTATGGGTTGGTGCTGACTCGATGGTACCTAACAAGAACAACAACAGCTGCAAAACACCTTTTTAAAGTGCTAAAAAGCAAAGTTGTCAGTTTGAAGACTAAGGTGAACCTGACCCACTCCAGGTATTTATATATGTAAAAGTTAGACAATGAATAAGGAACTTTAGAAGAACTGATACATTTGAATTACAGTGTTGACAAAGAATAATGAAAGTACCATCGGTTGCCAGAAGAACAAACAAATCGGTCTTGGAAGAAATATAGTTATAATGCTCCTTAGAAGTAAGGATGATGAAACTTTGTCTTATGTACTTTGGAGATGTTGTCAGGAAAGACCATTTCCTGGAAAAGGGCATCATGCTTGTTAAAGTAGAAGGTCAGCTAAAAAATGGAAGACCCTCAATGAGATGAATTAGCATAGTGGCAGTAGCACAGTGGGCTCAAACAAAGCAACAATTGTGAGGAGAGCCCAGCAACAGGTAGTGTTTCCTTCTGCTGTGCATTGGGTTTCTATGAGTTGTAACCAACTCGATGTCACCTAACCACAGCAAAATGCATGCACATGGACTCTCATATGCCTCCCACTTCCAAATTGCACATGTATTTCCCTACGTAACTATTCATATATTTTTGCTTCTTCTTGCTGTTGCAAGATTGTATATGTTATATCATTTACCTTTGTTGTCCTTTATTCTTGTATATCTCTCAGTGTCTTCATTTGTCTTAATCAAGTTGTGCTAACTTCCCCCATATTGTATATTGTCTTTCCTAGCATGAGGATTATCATGTGTCTACTATGAGTCCTGGTGTGGCGCTGTGGGTTAATGCACCAGATTGCAAAACTGTTTGAACTGCAAGGTTGGCAGTTTAAGCTGACCAGCTGCTCCTCGGAAACCCTATAGAGGGTCGCTATGGGTCGGAACCGACCCGACGGCACTTCACAACAACAACAACACTATCTAATTACCAAGTCTTTTTCATTGAATTTTTTTAGAAAATGGAACAAAATTTATCAGAAAATGGAAATAGATAAGAGCTGAGGCCACCTGCAGAATATCTACATATTTGGCTTACAAGAGTATCTCCTTTGTCATGAATTTTAAAAACTTATCAAAATGTAAATGTTCTTGCAAATATTGTTGTGAGAATCTCCTCAGAGAAGAGCTAAGTAAAAACCATGAACAAATCAATGCTTAAGTATGCACTGCTCTTTTGGGAGGGAATAGAACAAATGCAATTATGTGATTCACTCTTTGATTACTTCAGAATCACTCATCTTCAGTTTCCTAAACAAGACAAAACCATTTGACCATGAAGAAACAGCCCCAGCTTATAACAGTTGTTCTTATGAATGGATAAGTCAATTAGTTGTTTGATGGTAAATTTTATGTAGAAATCATGATGGTGTGATATGGAACCAATGAAGAGGACTGAGCATTGACCGAGTAGAAAGAAATGATTTCATGGATGGCTGCAGTAGGTGAGGACTTGAAATCCAATCCCTGAGCTCCTTGGTTTGAACAAGTTCCTAAAGTCAGGGGACACCAGTCTTCAGACCAACCCTTTGTCTTAGGGGAATCAATGATTGTACCTGTCACCAACATGCTGAGAGCATATAACCCTTGGAGGTTTTTAATATTAATCAGTTGTTTGCAAAAACTATGTAAAATATATGTCTCCTCATATTTGTTTTATTTGAAAACTTTAAAAAAAAACTTAAAAAAAAGAATTTTATTCAGGAAATGTTTCATTTAAGAGAAAACTCTTCTAATTTGTGAGTAAAGTCAGAATTCAGGAGCCAATGACAGATAGGAATCCAACAAGACAGGGCATGAATAATGTTGTATTAATAATTCACACTTGCCTTACTGAAGTATGTCTGAATTAGAATCTTATATCATAACTGCAAATGACTTCCCTTATACAAATATATTTATGCAAGATAGTGAGATGTATTCATCTCCCCACTTTAGGAATTTATGATAACCATATTATTCATTTAATTTTCTTTATCTGCTTAATTTAATATTAAACTACATGCCTAGTTCCATATTTTGTGGTACTGAATGAAACTTTCCAGAAATTTCAAAGGCTTTTATTAGCATCCAAGGACCCTAGGTGGAGTAGTGGTTACAGATTGGGCTGTTAACTTCAAGGTCAGCAGTTCAAACTCCCCAGCTGCTCTGTGTGAAAAAGATGAGGCTGATTGTTCCTGCAAAGATTTACAGTCTCAGAAACCCTAAGGAGCAGGTCTCCTCTGTCCTACAGGGTTGCTACAAGTCAGAATGGACTCAATGACAGTGGTTTGGTTTGGTATGATATCAACATCACAAATCAGAGCTGCCTTCAACGCCCATAAAAACTGCTTGGTTCTTAGCACACAATCAATTCTCTCATTCTCAAATGGAGTGAAATAACAAGCAAAGAGAAATGCAATTTTACTGTACCCGGCCTCTTAACAGCTCGTATGCTGTCACACCCAAGGACCACCAGTCAACAGCAAAGGAATAGCCTGCTTCCCTTCTGGAGTTGAACATCTCAGGAGCTGAAAACACAGAAAAGTGAAGCCAATTTATTCCTCAAGATTAACAAATCTCTTTTCCCAATATGTGTCCCCAAAGGAGAATTACCAAAGTAAAGGACATAAACACTTTTATGGATGTTTATCAACCATTGCTAGATTGCTCACAGCAGGCTAAAACCTCTAATTTTCTAATCTCTCTCAGTAGCTCCTTCATCAACCAACACAGTTATGCATGCACAAGTCTGCAAGGACATAATTTTATTTAGATCTATATGATTAGATCCTAGCACAAGTTGAGTCTTATCAGATCCCATGGATGCTCCTGACCCTGAAATGGAGATGGTTGAGATGCTGTTTATGCTGCTTTGATTTGGAAGGTTTGTGCTAAAGGCTTGAAATTTCTAGTATGGTTGCAAACAGTGCTCATAAGTTGGTGTGATTACATCAACAGGCTCTTCATCTGCAGACACCAGTATGAATAAAAGGCAGCACCTAGAGCACCCTGGTAGTTTCCGAAAAAGATGGCAGATCGGGTAGATGTGCAATGAGGAGCTCCATCAGCAACAACACAGAATACTGGACAAAGCAGGCTCAGGGGTTGGTGTTAGAACTCTGAACTACACATAAAGGAATATTGAGAAGCTTGGAGGGCTTACAGCTAGGGGAATTTGTAGCAGAATCAAGAAATCCATTGCTTTCTAATACAAGATGTTCGGCTGCTCCCAGAGCCGCCATTTTGGGAGAGACAAAGCGGGGGGAGGATCAAAACAGCCAAGAACCCCTCATAGAACCATGAAGATACAGGTGTGGACATTCTAATTTTTGGTATCTGTTCACTGGTCTCTCCCTGTCTGCACATCTTCATTCTGGTGACTAGAGGGGATGCCTGAGCAAATGGACCCCAACCCCCACCCCTGGAGGGTTCTACTATGCATGCACACAGATCACCTCAAAATTTAAAGTGACAGTTTGCATGTAAAATCAAATGGCCACCACTCATCTGTCACTTTGTTATACTGTGGTGGCTTGTGAGTTGCTGTGATTCTGAGAGCTATGCCACCAGTATTTTAAATACCAGCAGGGTCACCCATGGTGGAGAGGTTTCAGATGAGCTTCCAGACAAATATAGACTATGAAGAATGAGTGACGAACTACTTCCGAATATTTAGTTACTGAAAACCTTATGAATAGCAGAGAAACACTATCAGATGTAGTGCTGGAAATTGAGCCTCTCAGGTTGGAAGGCACTCAAAATGTGACCTGGGAAGAGCTGCCACCTCAAATTAGAGTTGACCATGATGATGCGAATGGAGTAAAGCCTGTGGAAGAAAAGTCCATCATTTGCTGATGGGACACAACTCAAAATGAAGAGAAACAGCTGTAAACATCCATTGAAAATCAGAACATAGAAAGAATGAAGTATGAATCTGGGAAAATTGGAAGTTGTCAAAAATGAAATGGAACACATAAACATTGATATCTTAGGAATAATTGAGCTGAAATGGACTGGTATTGGCCATTTTTAATCTGAAAACCACATGGTTTACTATGGCGGGAATGATAAATTGAAGAGGAGTTCACCATCAAAAAGAACATATCCAGATTGCACTCATCATCAAAAAGAACATATCCAGATTAGTCATGAGGTACAACGCTGTCTGTGATAGGATAATATCCATGTGCCTACAGGGAAGCCCAGTTAATACCACTATTATTCAAATTTATGCACCAACCACTAAAGC